TTGTGCCTATTCTGGTCATTCGTTTTTGTAATTGCATTTTACTTCTGATAATTTCAGTCTTTAATCCAGTGGTTTCTCCCTTTGAGCTTGCTTATTTTTATAAAGTATCTTACCGGTCACTATTATTCGCTGGCATTGCTATCCTCCCGCACAGTTATCACTAATATTTTATAACAAGACTACTCATATAGATCCTCGTGAAGACAATTATTCTCTATGCATATCAATATCTTTTTATTCTTTGACCTTAATAAGTTGTTATATACTTTATTATACAATGAAGTTTATTTTATACGATTTAATGCTCGCTAAACAAATACGCTATCAAACTTGTCTTTTTTTTATCAATTTGGGGAGCAAAATTATTTCTTTTATCTTCCTACCTGCTATTTTGTTTCGGTGTGATTTTCACAAGGTAATTGATATTATAATCATGCATGCAATTGGTTTTTTATATGCCTAGGTGTACGTTTGTCTCTATTTTTGCATACTAATTTATGCCTATGAGTTTGTTTGGCCTACTCTTCCCATTATATTTCATTCATGTATACCATGCATGGAGTTCCTCTTTGAATTTCTGTCTTGTTAGTTATGAGAACTCCGGCTTCTCCATTACTACGTGCCTGGAGCTCTCTTCGCGCCAGCCTTCCGATCCAGGCTCGTCGCCAGCGCAAATCAACTGCAAGCCAGAAGGAGTCTTCCCACAATCATGTGCATCAGCAGCAGAAATCACAACACCCTAATCGACACAATTCGTTATCTGGTGTCAATGGAATCCGCACTTCATCGACCGACATTACTCAGCAGTCTCATTTCTTGTCCTCTGTTTCTTCGGCCCAGGCGGACTGTAGCAATTCTCTCAATAAACCTCAAAAATCTTGCATTCGAGAGGGCTTGAACGGCCTCAGCTTCTCGAGCTTCACGCACCAACGACCATCTTTGCCTAACAACAGTCAACTACCTCTCTCGTCTTCTTCCAGAGACTGTAAAGTTCCCATTTCACAACCCCCAGGTCGACCAATCATTTTTTCATCTAGTTTCATCGGTTTTCCTGCCTTTGATTCCTGGTCTCTCTTCGACTCATCGCAGCAGACTATGGAGGCCCGACTTTCTGCCCCCCTAGCCAGCTCTCTCCTGTCTAGCACTGGCTCCCCTTCCGCACCAAATGCAACTTCTGAATGCTCAGCTCAGTTTGGCAGTCAAACCAAATCGCCCATCTCGATGAACGATTCAAACAACCAATCACTTATTCTCCGCCCACCGCCCCCGATGTACAGACATTCATCTCAAGACCCTCCTCTTGGCGTCTCCGATGATATTGCGTCAAGCGTTTCGTCTTTTCAACGCGACCCGCCAACCCTCATCTTTCCTCCACCTCCTATTCTGTCACCACCTTCACCTCCGGGCGTTACCAACGCCTATGCCCAGCACGCCACTCCACCTCCGAGGCCTACGCGGCCAAGTCATCTTGTAGCGTCCCAAAAGTCTTTGCACTTTATATCCACATTACGAACTTCGTCTTTTCAGACGAGCCAACCAAGCGACACAAGCTCTAACTCTACACCAGATAGTCATACAAACCTTCAATTTGTTGATTCAGATAACCCTGAAGGGACCTCGGAATCTGTAGTAGGTGATTACATTGACCATCTGACTAATGAGGCAATACGACTGCAACAACATAGTGATGAAGAAGACGAAGATGAACTAAATGACAATGATTCTTTGCTTTCGACTTTATCACGTGAAGCAATTGCAGAGCAAATTAATACCACTCTTACTCGGCCTCCGCTGATTTCTTCGAGGACCGACCGTCCCGAACCCTCAGAATTAGCAATTTATCCGTCCGATCCCAAAATGTCGCCCGATACTTTCATCTCTTCTGATAAGTTTTCTATCCAGATTAGTGGGACCGCTTGTCCTGATGCCCCAATCAGCTTGATTCAGCCTCGGTCAACTCAAGACTCTTTCCCCAAAGATTTCTCCTTCCCAGAACATTGTATTCCATGGTCTAATAGTTTAACTGCACCTACTTCAAAGCCCTCACAACATTTGATCGATACCTGTCAGCCAATAGTTGCAAGTGAGTTGTCCTTTACTTCATCATTCCTTAATTCATTTGCTATTGTTATTATTGAGCTTACTTCCATTTCGAATGGAAGTGTTGGGTGAAGAGATTCGATGGTCGGTTCCACCAGAAGATGACGGCGGATTGCTCTTGACAAGCTGTCGATTGGCTTTACTGCCTCGGCAACAACGTCAGCATGAATCTTGCGGTAAAGCCAATCGACAGCTGGTTAAGAGCAATCCGCTGTCGTCT